CGCTCCGCGGAGCCGCGCCGGCTGCGACGCCAACGGCCGCCCGCGCCCTCCCGGACACAGGCCCCTTGCCGAGGCCGGCACCTGCCCTCGGCTCCCTCCCGTCACAAGCCTGCAACCCTGCACCAAAGGATTTTTGCTTGCTAGCAATAAAAAATGAAAAGAAAAGACAGAATGATCTTAGCACTCGGTGCACCCATCCCCGAGGTATCACCAGACACCGGAAATAACAAACCTACTGCGGCAGCTCCCAATCATCAGCACATTCCCAAACATCTCTGCAGGACCAGATGTGGCTAATTAAGGCCATTGAAAAGCCTTTGCTACAGAAAGTCAGGTGGGCAAGAGTAGGATTGTGCAGCTACAGCAATGTTACTACCCTGGACATTGCTTGTCTTTCAAGGTTGGTGACCAGGAATGAAATCAACTCCTACATCATTCCTGGTCCTTGGTTTTCCATTCTAAACGCTGAACATGAGATTTTCAGCCTCTCCCTGGACCTTGCCCTCCTTGCTTCCATGTGCTGTAAAATGCTATTAAGGTGCAAAGAAAAGAAAAAAAAAAAAAGGTATAAAAAGAGACAAAAAGTACTACTCATTGTGTCTATTCTCTCAAAAGCCAGATTTTCTCTCAGCCAGGCAGGAAGCACGGAGAACCTATGACACTCTTTGTAAGCACATCCAGGATCATTTTGAACTACCTTGCTGAGATTCCCCAAGAGATCCCAGCTCTCCACATACCCCTCACACTGCCCTGTGTGAATTACTCAGATTCTCTAAATATTTCCATTCCCTTCAGTATGTTGGTGTTTGCGATACTGAACAGATTCCCTAAGCACTCCGACTCCTTTGTACACAAGCAAATATCTCTGCAAGGCTCAAACATAAGTAACCCCCAAACTAAACTCCATTTCTGATGGCAATTCTGGCACTCTGTACATAAACACATTTCTGGAAAGCACATGCTAGGGCACATATGGACCACAAGCAAAGATATGTCATCTGTAACCTGAAACAAAATAGTTTAGAAGAGAAGTATTTGACAGCTTGTTTGGGCCAGGCAAGGCGGTTCATGAAGTACATGGCTCGAGGGCGCAGTTTCCCTGGCGGATTGAACACTGCTGCTGAGACCGCCCACCTCTGAAACCTAATCCTGCACTTGCCCTGGGTTGCACTGATACATTCATGTTTGCATGGCTAGAAATGAGTCACATTAACTTGTTTATCCAGTTTAAACCTTCTCTTTCTTGAGGATGGAGGGTTAGTTTTTCTTTTATCAACTTTGGTGTTCACTTGAGCCCAGGGCGAGTCATTTCAGGCACCTAAAATCAACAGAAATTAACTGTACAAAAAGAATTTTTCCGCTATCTGAACTGGCTAACCCCAGCGCAGAGGAGGGAGCGCAGAGCTGGCAAGGAGGGAGATGCAGCTGCATTGTGAACCGGGTCTCGGGTGGGCTCTGGTGCGTGGAGGCAGCAGGGCGGGCACAGGGGATCCCTGCAGCACCCGCGGCTCCCCTCACCCCGCGCCGGGTCGCGGGCGGGGCCGGGT